GGTTTTTCTAGCCCAAAGGGGATAGCACCTTACCTCTCCCTCTGTCCCGTTGTGAAGAAAAAATGAGGCATGACTGAGTATAGGGGCTCCAGGGGCTCTGAGGGTCCTTGAGGGACTTAAGCCTTCCCTCCTCTACCATCTTTGAGTGTGCTCCTGCTGTCTACACAACCCCACCCCCACCCCCCTTCCGCTGGCAGGGTTGAAAGGCCGGCCCTCTGGGAGCGTGACTTGGAATTGCAAATGGTTGAAAGGAGATTCTCATCCTTCAGTGCGAATTCACTGCAATCACCTGGAGGTGCTCATTTCAAATGCAAATTCCTGGCAAATCCCCCTAATACTGGTTTAAACCTGTAGGGATTTGTCTGCCACCATTATTATTCTTTTTTTTAAAGATTTTATTTTTAAATAATCTCTACACCCAGAGTGGGGCTTGGATTTAGAGCCCCGGGATCAAGTGTCACATGCTCCACTCCAGCGACTGAGCCAGCCAGGTGCCCTGTCTGTCACCATCATCAAACCAGAAGTGGACAGACCCAGGCTGGTGTCCCAGCACAAACTTCAACAAGAACTTGGTTCTCCATGTCTTCCACTCTGCCAACCTTAACATGTCGTGCTTGCTGCCTCAGGGCTGGAATATGGCTGCTGCTCCTTGAACTAGCCCGACATACTCCCACCCATGAAGCTGGCATTTGCTTTTCCTCTCCTGGAGTCAGTGCACTTCTATACCTCTATAAATCTGCTCAAATGTCACCTGCTTAGTAAAGGCTTTGAAACTGCAAATCCTCCCGCCCCACCCTAACTATCTGGGAACTCCCTTTCTCCCATTTCTCTCTCTCCTTCCCTTTTTTTTTTTTCTTTTCTCTCTTTTTTTGTGGTAAAGGTTTTATTTATTTGTTAGACAGAGAAAGACAAGGAAAGATGGAACACAAGCATGGGGAGTGGCAGAGGGAGAAGCAGGCCTCCCACTGAGCAGACAGGGGGATCGACAGGGGGATGGATCCCAGAACCCTGAGATTATGACCTGAGCCCAAGGCAGACGCTCAACAACTGAGCCACCCAGGCACCCCCCTCCCCCCACCATGTCTCCTTCTGGGCTTTATTTTTCCCAACAACACTATCACCATCTGACATGCAATGTGTTTTCCTTGTTCAATGTCTTTTTCTCCCTACCCTATAGTGTAAGTACGGGGCAGGGATGGGGGGTGGGGAGGGCAGGGGCTTCTGTTTATTTTGTTCACTGCTGTATTCCCAGCACAACCTCTAGAATGAACGTGTAGGTGACAGGTGCTCGGTAAATGGTTGTTCAATGAGAGAATGCACTTCCAGGGGCTACATGTGATTTTTAGGAAGGAAGAAGAAGGGGAAGAGGAAAAACATTTCCACAAATTCATAACCAACTTCCATTTATGTCTGCTTAGCCAAAACCATGTTACATGGCCACTTGTTGCTGCAGGAGAGTCTAGCAATATGGATATTTTTAGTTGGACACACTGTTCTACCCTTTTTTTTTTTTTTTTAAGATTTTATTTAACACAGAGAGAGAGAGAGCATAAGCAGAGGGAGCAGCAGACAGAGGGAGAGGGAGAAGTAGGCTCTCGGCTGAGCAAAGAGCCCCAATGGCTGCGGGACTGATCCCACGACTCTGAGATCATGACCCAAGCCTAAGGTAGCTGGTTAACCAACTGAACCACCCAGGCGCCCTATGCTGATCTTTTTGAGCAATTTTTATGAATAAGGAAGAAGGGAAGAATGGATATTGGAAAGACAACCTATAGGGTCTACCCCATGCATCTGTACTTGACCTAATGGAGTAGAAAGAATCTCTGAGGGGGTTAATTTTGATGCAGGTGAGGCTTGGACCATGTCCTAAGAAAAATAGCCAGAATAATAGGATGGCTGTAGAGCAAACTTTCTTTCCTTAAGATTTTATTTATTTTTTTTGAGAGAGAGACAGTAAGAGTGAGCATGAGAGGGGAGAAGGTCAGAGGGAGAAGCAGACTCCCTGCTGAGCTGGGAGCCGGAAGTGGGACTCGATCCTCGGACTCCAGGATCATGAACGGAGCCAAAGGCCACTGCTTAACCAACAGAGCCACCCAGGTGCCCCAGAGCAAACTTTCTTTCTTTCTTTTTTTTTTTTTTTAAAGATTTTATTTATTTATTTGACAGACAGAGATCACAAGTAGGCAGAGAGGCAGATAGAGAGAGAGAGGGAAGCAGGCTCCCTGCTGAGCAGAGATCCCAATGCGGGCTCCATCCCTCGACCCCGGGATCATGGCCTGAGCCAAAGGCAGAGGCTTAACCCACTGAGCCATCCAGGCGCCCCAGAGCAAACTTTCTTAAGCCATCATGGGTGACAGATGCACACGTCATGGATGGCTCACAGTCACAGACAGCTGTGCAGACCACACTCCATTCCCAGAACTACCCCCACCATCTTTCCTGAGACAATCTTTATTTCCACTCCCCCTCCATACGCATGGTTACAGCCACAGAACTTTCGGAGGTCTTGGTCAGATATCATGTTTCCACCCACCTGACCCTAACCACTGAACTGGAATCACATTCCCATGAATCTGGCACTGGAACTGAGTTCTAAGTCTCTCTGGGTGACTAGATTGTGTCAACAGAGAGCTGCTGCTGGCAGATGTATATTCTACGTCACAAACTGGAGTAGCCAAGGAAAGAGCTCAAACCCCACAAGGAAGAAGTTGGGTGAAGTAAAGAGGGTCTTTGTAGCGTTTGAGTCCCCGGGACTCGATTATTCCTGAGCACTGGTTCTGTCCTCGTCCTTGGGGTCCATGGCACACTTTTCTGTGTCCTTATTTCATTCAGCCCATCTTAAATGAATCTTTAGTATGCCCCAGCCTCTGGAGATCAGGGGCTCGGTCTTGGAGGAGGAGGTGAAACATGGCGGCTTCTTTATCAACAAACAGTTAACCAAAGATCCGGGTGGCAAGGGAGAGTTTCTACCCTCTGGCTTTTTTGTGAAGCTCTAGAAAACCACCTGTGTTAGCCATACAGGTAACCCCCGACTGCTAACAGGAGAAAGGAGTGTTTTTTCTTCTTCTTCTTCTTTTTCTTTTCTTCTTCAAAGATTTTATTTATTTGACAGAGAGAGAGAAATCACAAGTAGGCAAAGAGGCAGGCAGAGAGACAGGGGGAAGCAGGCTCCCTGCCGAACAGAGATCCTGATGCAGGGCTCGATCCCAGGACCCTGGAACCATGACCCCAGCCCAGAGCCGAAGGCAGAGGCCCAACCCTCTGAGCCACGCAGGTCCCCCAAAACAAGTGGTTTTATTTTATTTTATTTTATTTTTTAAAAAGATTTTATTTATTCATTTGACAGACAGAGATCACAAGTAGGCAGAGAGGCAGGGAGAGAGAGAGGAGGAAGCAGGCTCCCCGCTGAGCAGAGAGCCCGATGTGGGGCTCCATCCCAGGACCCTGAGATCATGACCTGAGCCAAAGGCAGAGGCTTTAACTCACTGAGCCACCCAGGCGCCCCAACAAGTGGTTTTAAAAGAGGACCTCTGGGGCACCTGGGTGGCTCAGTGGGTTAAAGCCTCTGCCTTCGGCTCAGGTCATGATCCCAGGATCCTAGGATCGAGCCCCGCATCGGGCTCTCTGCTTAGCGGGGAGCCTGCTTCCTCCTCCTCTCTCTCTCTGCCTGCTTCTCTGCCTACTGGTGATCTCTGTCTGTCAAATAAATGGATAAAATCTTTAAAAAAAAAAAAAAGAGGACCTCTACATTCAGGTTCTGAAGATTTGGTTTTATTTCTGACCACTCCCCTTCTATTCCTGGCCTTCGCTACTTATAAAACACACATGGTGCCTATCATTTTCCTGAGGAACAGCTGGGTTCGAGGGGTGGCACAGAAGGGAAAAAAAAAACAAAAAAACATGGGCTTTAGAGTGTGGAAATCCAGCCTCGTCGCTACCCACATGTCTTGAGCCAAATTAGTTCATTTTCCTAAATCCCATCTGTGAACCAGCGACAATACCTTCCATGGGGGAGGCTGAAGTGAGCGTGCATCAGGGCAAAGGACCTAACACAGCACCTGGCAGATCTCCAACAGCAGAGGCATTCCAGCCCTGGCCCTCCAGGCTGGCGCAGGGCAGGTGGGCAAGGAGCCCCTCCAGGGGAAGGGTCAGGTTCCCAACCAACGGGTCAACCACAGTGCTCCCCGAGGGCCCCCTCCTCCCCGGGAGGTAGGGGCTTTGTGTTTGTTAGCAGCAATGACTTTTCATTTCCCGTAAGGCCTCCGTGCTCCAGGAAACCAACAGCCAGAACCCAGATGGAGGGAGGGAAAGAAGCCCCGGGAAGAGAGCCGAACGGGATATTAGTCTTTTTTTTTTGTTTTTAAAGAGATTTTATTTATATATTTGGCAGAGATCACAAGTAGGCAGAGAGACAGAGAGAGAGAGAGAGAGAGGGGGAAGCAGGCTCAGAGAGCCTGACGTAGGGCTCGATCCCAGGACTCCGGGATCATGACCTGAGCCAAAGGCAGAGGCTTTAACCCACTGAGCCACCCAGGCAGCCCTGGGATATTAGTCTTTTAAACCATTTTAATTCCGTGCCCACATGTACCAGGCACATCTATGTGCTTTACACACATTACTACCTGCTTTCATCTCTCCTGACTGATCAATGGAGGAGCAGAGCTGCCACATGGTGATCGACAGCTAATCTGGACATCCAGGCTGTTCAGACACCTGCTAACAGCTCAGAATGAACGGGATCGGGACCATTTGCCTAGAACACGAACAGCCATTGCCATGGCTCTCACACAGACTTCAGGCTAGAGCTGGGACCTTCCTCCAGGCCCTGCTGGGCACATGAGTCCCCTTTAAGCCGTCCATTCTTCCCCAAGGTCCTGATAGCTGCAGCTGAGATCTGAAAACTCCCCAAGCCCTCTTGGAAAAACAAGGAAGGGAGAGAAAGGAGAAAGTGCATAAGCAAGTATAAGGAAGTACAAAGGGAAGAGAAGGCAGGCAACCAATTCTGTGACGATACTCATTCCTTTATTATCGACTGTGTTAATCTGGACAGGGCTGGACGGCAGGCTGCCGGCAGCACCAAGCTGCAGTTGCATTTGAGCTCAACAGAGAGGCCTCATCTGAAGCCAAGGAGACAGAGGGTAATGTTTTTTATATATATTTATATATTACATACGTCCCCGTATAGTCATATGTATAGAGTGACAAGAATGGGCCACTGCATTAACTGTTGTCCTAAATAAAGACCATAGCAACAGACACAGAAATATGGTCCTCATCAAGGCCTTCACTTTGTCAATCAAATGTTCGATACATCAAAAGGGAAAGGAGAGAGACAGAGAGACTTAGATCCAACCACCCCGGTGGTCCTGTTCCCAGCATATCTTACACCGAGTGTCGAGTGTCCCCCAAGTGTAGAGCGGAGGTAAACACACACATACACACGAACACGCACACACACACACGTACACAAAGCCGCAGGGAGGAGCTCCTCCTTCGACACACCTCGGGCCCAGCCCTTGGACCAGGGTGGGGGTGGGTGGGTAGTGAAACCGGGTATTTTGTGCTCTAAGACTGTGAGGGTCAAGTGACCAGATGACGCAGAGTCGATGTGTCCAAGTGATGAATGGGGGTGACACGTGCTTTTTCATCCACAAATAAGAAAGGTCAGCAGGAGAGGCTGCTCAGTGTAGGCATGAAGTCCCTTGGTGCCCAGGCCACCTGGGGGATTTCTACACGTAATTCCTGTCCCAGACACAGTCAAACCTCTGATCCAAATCCTGAGTCTCAAATAATCTCTTGGGCTCTGATGAAGAATGGTGTTCCCCCGAAGGACGGGAGCAAATGGCAATTGAGTTGTCCAACCATCTAGTCCAGTAACTATGGCAGAAATGACAGCATCAGTGAATGAAACCAAACCATAGCTTGGTCCCTAGAGCAGAACTTGAACTGTGCGAGAAGGGTTCACTTCCTAAAGGAAAGAGAAGACCCACATAATCAGCCCCCACCCCTGCCCCACCTCCCTCTCACCAAATTCAAGCAGCTCCATCAAGTTTCATGCTTCTGTCCCAATGACTAAAATCCTTTTATTTCTGGGAACCAGAGATTCCCACTATGAGGGCATTTTGAGATCTTAAATCACTTGTTTCTTTCATAATTACCTCTTTATTCCTCTACCAAAATATACACTTACAAAGTAAATCAATGAAAATTAATCTTTCTTTCTCTCTCTCTCTTTTTTTTTTTTTGTCAAAACTTACTTACTACTTGAGATAACTGGAAACATCTTCAGATGTCACAAAAGGAGGTGGGGAGCATTTCCCTAGGGACTAATTTGCACAATGCTGAAGAAAGGATCCGTTTTCAACAAAACAGTGCATGACAAATGGGATGCAGAAACAGGCGTTAATTGGCAAAGCTGGCAGATCGGGCCTGGGTCTCTGTCTCCTGTGCTACGTGAAGGGGGAAGCAAGAGATTCCAGTACCTTTGCGTAGCCAGAGGGAGAACGACATTGATTCCTGCTACCCTGAACTGGGCTCCAGGCAGCTGCAGAGGAAAATGACCACAGCAGGAAGGAGCAGCATTTCAAAAACGGGGAGCTGGCTTGATCACTTGTTGACCCAAGTTATTTCTCTGAGGGGACAGAAACAAAGGGACTAAGAGACGGGACTTCCTTTGATGACTGTCCGTGTTGTTTCCATTATGGTTTCGTTTTCTGCAGGTCCTGAGGGGGGGCCCTCCATCGGTCGGTTCACAATTCCCATCCAGAGGTTGGGACGGTGGCCAGGAAGCAGAGTTGGGTAAGCCATGAGTTCTTGCCGAAGCCAAAGAGCATGGGCTGTGTCGGTGAGACCATGTAAGTCCTTGAAAAGGAGCCCAAGAGGCTGAAAGAGGTTATCTGAGGTCTGGAGAGGGAAGTGCAGGCCTCTGTTCACTGGGAGCACAGGCCCAACGCTGTCAGGACATCTCTGGTCCTTTGTGGACATCTAGCGTTTTTCTAGTCCCAGAAAGTGCTTAGGAACTGCTCACGGTCAGCTGGAGGAGATGGATGATGGAGTGAGACAGGTAGCAAAAGTGCTCTCTTCTCAGGCCCTGGCTACCTTCCCTTCTGGGAGCAGCTGACAGAGAGGAGCTTGAGGTCTGACACGGGGGGCGGGGGGTTCTAAAGTCAGAAGGAAAGGAGGCTATGGAGTGACCACGGCAGGCTCAGGCGAGGGCATCTCCCCCAAAACCGAACTCCACAAATAAATAACATTAATTAAATAAAGGAGGCTGAGAAGAGCGGGCCGATGCACGGTCTGCCAGGGTCTCGCCCCCTCACACATACGCACACGCACATGCACACACACGCACGCACACTGAGTGTCAGGTGAGACGATCCAGGGTTGGCTCCCCATCCCAGGATGCTCTTGGCCGGGCAGCCTGACGGAAGGTTGTCACTCATGGTCTAGCACTGTTGTGGGGCGCAGAGCAGCGGAGGCCAGTGAGGCGTGTGGGGTAGAGGCTGGAGGCCGCTGAGGAGTCTGGCACCTGCAGAGGGGAGGGATGAGGTATGAGAATGGGGAGGTTGAGAAACATCGGGAAACTGAGAAGTGAGGACTGGCCTTTGCCTCATCCTGTTGCTATGGGAACTCCTCCCTGAAGACCTCAGCTATCCCCTCCCCCCACCCTTAATGCCTGGCAGGTACAACCAAAACCCTCTTCAGCCTCATCCAGCCTATGTGGTCTCCATGCCTCCTAAGTCCCCTGCCCGCTCTGAGCACAGGGGTACTGACCAGGACCTGGACTTTCGAACTTTAGATGTGGAAGGTCTTTCCAGAAAGCTGTCCAAGCGCATGAGCCTCTCCATGTGTAGCGCGCGGGGATCTTGTTCTTGGTCATGAGAGAACTCCATCTCGAAGACAGCTGGAGGGGACACATCTAACTCCAGGAACATGATGTTTTCAGCCTGTGGTGGGAACATCAGAGCAGATGTGAGCAGCGGCCCTGAAGGTTCCATCTCTTTGGCACTCCGTTGATATTGGGGATAGCAGAGGTGGTGAGGTAGGCAGAACAAGCAGAGATTATGAGCATCACCTCCCTTGGGCTCCCTCTCCTTCCCTTCCATTTCCCAGCTTCTTACCCTGTACCTGGGGTGGGACCCCATTGCCATAGCAACCCGAGCATACTGGCTGATAGGCCTCTTGTAGCCCACTGCGGACGTTGGACGCTTCTTCATTTGGCTGTTGTTGCTGTGGGGAAGAGGCTATATTAGGGTGGGTTTCTTTTGAAATGGGGGAAATGATACGAAGAATTAAGTATCGTTCAAAGCAGGCAGGAGGTTCTGCAGATAGTCCACAGGAATGTTCTTCTCTTTGTTTTTTTTTGTTTTTTAAGATTTTATTTATTTATTTGACAGAGAGAGACAGCGAGAGAGAGAACACAAGCAGGGGGAGTGGGAGAGGGAGAAGCTGAGCGGGGAGCCCCAAGAGGGGCTTGATCCAAGGACCCTGGGATCATGACCTGAGCCAAAGGCAGATGCTTAAGGATTGAGCCACCCAGACGCCCCTCTTCTCTTTGTTCTAATACAGCTGGACAACTAAAAACTATCATAACCCAAGAAACCATATATTTCTTTACTCTTGTATTTTTTCTGTCCCCGCCCTGCCCCTCACAGTAAAATGGTTTGACTAAGGGCTGAAATGAAGAAAAGAAATCCAATCTTCTTTTAGCTTTCAGATTCATATGCTGATTTCACACACTATGCAAAACCACTGATGATGAGTGGCTCTTTTCTGTTTTCTTCTTAAGAGTTAGTCCAAAAAAAAAAAAAAAAAAAAAAGATAAAAAAATCAGGCTTGAAATACAAGGGTCCCAAAATAGCCTAAACAATCCTCAAAAAGAACAAAGTTGGAGGGTTCGCATGTCCCAGTTTCAGAACTTAATACAAAGCCTACAGTAATCAAGGCTCTGTGGTGCTAGCATAAGGACAGACATGGAAATCAATGGATTAGAACCGGGAGTCTAGAAATATATCCTTATATGTACAATCAGTTGATTTTCTATAAGAGTACCAAGACCATTCAATGGGGAACCAACAGCCTCTTCAATAATCTGTACTGGGACAACTGGATGTCCAAAGGCAAGAAAAATGAAGTTGGATCGTTACCTTGTATCATCTATAAAAATTAACTCAAAATAGATTACAGACTTAAATGTAAGTGCTAAGAAAAAAGTCTGCATTTCCAACAAAATGTTACTAGTTATTGTCTTTGGATGGCTTGATTACAGATGATTTTTATTATCTTTATGCTATTCTGCAAAATCTAAACTTTTTTATAATGAAAATATATCACTTTATATCTAATTATCTCAGATATTCAGAAAAGTATAAAAAATAATTTATGTACGCTTAACATTCAGCTTTGTCAAGTCATCTGTTTCACATTTTGTTATACTTACATCAAATTTTTTTTAAGAGATAAAGTATAAGCAGTTTCTTTTTTTTTAATGTAAGTGGTTTTTAAATCTCCTGTCTCTCCCTCCCCAGAGTTAATTACTCTCTTGAATTAGTGGTGCTAATCAATGCAGTGCATGTTTTTATAGTTACTTATATATGTGGATATTCATAAACAATATACATGGGTATTTGTACACCTATTGCAAAAATTTGAACTGTGTGGTATACGTACTGCATTTTCTTTGTGCTCAACAAACTTTTTTCTTTTAGATTTATCCATGTACCTCTAGATTAGATTATTAAAGTTTTGCTTATATTAACTATTTTAAGGTTGCAATATAACATCATATATATTTATGTATATGTATAATATTCTCTTGTTGATGGACATCTAGGTTGATTTTTTTTTTTATTAAACACAGTGCTGTTGTGAACATTTCTGTATAGATATCTTTGAGTACATATTCAACAGTTTCCCTGGGGTATACACCTAGGAATGCAATGGTTCCATGGTAGGGTATGTACATTTTCAACTTTGCTAGATAGTGCCAAATTGCTTTTCAAATTGGTTATGCCTTTGAACACTTCCATTGCTTTCTATCCTAGCCATTTCATAGGATGGCAGACTTCTTCCTTTCAGCAGTTTGATGAATGTCGCGTATTGCTTTTATTATCCAAACAAGCAAACCAAGATAGGAAAGAAATCCACAAAGTATTTCCATTAAAACAAAGTAACACAGGTTTTGGAGTAAGACCTATCTGAGTTCGAACTTTGGCTCTGCCCCTTAAAGCTGTGTCACCAAATACCTCTGAGACTCAGCTGTGTCACCCCCCCATCCCCCACCCTGTCACACAGAACTGCTGAGATGAAGCAAGAGAAGCATTTAGCAGAGCACACAGCAAAGGCTCAACCCCCCAGCAGCTGGGAAGATGATTTATTCTCCATTCAACTTGCTAATTTCAGGCAGGGATACAAAGGAGCAATGCAAAAAAAAAAAAAAAAAAAAGCCAAAAGGCAGACAGAAGACAGAAGAGGAGAAGAAACAGGCCGAGTACTTCACAGATAGGACATCCTGTCCTTGAGGAGTGGAACGAGCAGTGCAGGGGCTGAGGGAACTCTGCCTGCCTTCTGCAGCAGAGAGTACCGAGCAATGCCATTCTTGTGGTTCATTTTATCAAGCACATAATAGAGTGCTGGACCCCACCTAGGGGTCCCCTCTGGCCCTACTTTATGGGTAAAAACAGGGAAGGATAGAACTGTAGAAGCCCCAGCTCACTCTGCAGCTGTGTGGCCCCTGGGGCAGGGGGGAGGGGTGCCGGGGAGGGGAGGGGAGAGGTGCGGGGTGGGGGTCTGGGCGGAGGAGGGTAGGGAGGCTGTGCATGCGCACAGCAGCAGCCCTGACAACTCCAGGAGAGAGGGGAAAAATGAGTAACATCACCTCTTATTTCTACGGTGCATCTACACATCCCGTTTGAACTTCGCCACAATCTCCCGAGGTGTAGACAGGGCAGAAAAAGAGCCTGAGGCTCGGGACAAGCAAAATGCCTTTGGATTAGGAAGGCATTTGGAACTGGATCTGCCCAGATACTCTTTTTAGGATGCTGCACTGTGTCTCAGGAGGACACCAGGCCAGGCTGGGGCTGGGAGCGTGTGCGAGCTCTGGGAATAGGACTGGGGGACAGGGCTGGGAGAGCGGAGTGGTGGATCCGTGTGAACTGGCGGCCTGACCCAATAAAGGTGCCAGGGCTATTCTGGGTGGCATGCGGGAAGAAGGGGCTGGGGGAGGGGAGTCTGTAATTGGGACACCAAATTTCCCATCTACTCCCTCTTCTGCCCCAGGCCTACTTTCCATGATGGATCCCTCTCTAGTAAGAGGGTTGTGGCTGACTGCCCAGAGCAGGGGCCTGGCTCTGCCCAAAAGCCCCCTCCCAACAGGGACCCACAGTAGTTACATGCTGCGTAGTTCCTAAGACTTGTCCTATGACCCACCCTTGCTGCTATATGGCTGCTATCACAATATTTTTTCCCCTTAATAATAATAAAAAAAAGTGATCTCTCAGCTCTTAGGGGCCAACTCCGATGTCATTATCAGATGTCTGATTCCCCCCTTTTTCTCTTCTGTGCTGAAAACTGGCATCCAACATCATAGGGAGAGTTTTCTTTCCAGGTCATGCCCAGTCCTCTGCCACAGCAAGCCTGGTCTCTGCGATCTAGTTAGTCCCTGTGTCCCTGCAGGCCAGCGGTCCACCAGGCAGCATTCCCTGGCATGTCTACTGACCTCCCCTTTTTTTTTTTTTTTTAAGATTTTTACATTTATTTTAGAGAGAGAAAACACAAGCAAGGGGAAGGGCAGAAGAAGAGGGAGAGAGAGAAAAACCCCAAGTAGACTCCCCGAGGAGCGCAGAGTGGGACTGGATCCCAGGACTCTGAGATCATGCCTGGAGCTTGAATGCAGCCGCCCAGCCGACTGAGCCACCCAGGCCCCCCTAAGTGGTATAACCTGCTAGAAAGGTAACTTGGCAGTATGTTCTAAGATAGACAAAATGTTTATAATCCTTCATCAGATCCTGAAATTTCCTTCTAAGAAAGTCATCTGGGAGAGCCTGGATGGTTCAGTCGGTTAAGTCAACTTCACAGGTGAAGCAATTTGGGTTCACAGAGGTTTAAAAACCTTTCCCAGGGGTGCCTGGGTGGCTCAGCTGGTTCAATGACTGACTGTTGATCTCAGCTTAGGTTGTGATCTCAGGGTCCTGGGATCCAGCCTGAGGCCAGGCGTCACACTCAGCAGGGAGTCTGCTGCCCTTACCCCATGCTCAGTCTCGCCCTCTCTCCCTCTCAAGTAAATAAAATCTTTTTTTTTTTTTTTAAAGATTCCATTTACTTATTTGATAGAGAGAGCGATCACGAGTAGGCGGAGAGGCAGGCAGAGAGATGGGGGGGGGAGCAGGCTCCCTGCTGAGCAGACAGCCCAATTTGGGGCTTGATCCCAGGACTCCGAGATCGTGACCTAAGCTGAAGGCAGAGGCTTAATCCACTGAGCCACCCAGGTGTCCCAAATAAATAAAATCTTAAAACAAAAACTAAAACGTTTTCCAGGCCAAGTAAGTGGCAGAGCAGGGACTAGAATTCAGAATGTTCTAAACCCCAAGTCCAGTCTCTTCCTACTGCACCACGATGCCTTTGAAAAGATTCTAGGGTATCTGGGGTTGCAAAGGGCCAAGGGCTAAAGTCACAAATAGAATTTTATGAACTATGAATCAATGGCTACAGACATTGCCAAATATAAAGCCCTAGAAGACAATTTTGTATAAATCCAATGAAAATTGAAGTCTATAAAGAGAGGGGTGCCTGGGTGGCTCAGTAGGTTAAGCCTCTGCCTTCGGCTCAGGTCATGACCCCAGGGTCCTGGGATCGAGCCCTGCATTGGGCTCTCTGCTGGGTGGGAAGTCTGCTTCCTCCTCTCTCTGCCTGCTTGTGATCTCTGTCTGTCAAATAAATAAAATCTTAAAAAAAAAATGTCTATAATGAGAAACTAAACATTCAAGGTCATATTGTACAGTAGTTTTTGCTGGAGCTGGCTGTGAAACTGGTTTCTCAGTTCAAGTTTCTTTCAAAATTGTTTGTGAGGATAGAAGTCACCTTACCTGTGATTCAACCAGTGTGACACAGAGATATTGGAGAAAAAAGAAAACAGGGTAGATTTCCAAAATAAGTACATATGGGTGTGTTTTAGGAGTTGCCTGGTGGGTATGTCTGGCTAGCTCAGTTGGTTAAGTGTCCAACTTTTTTCTTTTTAACTTTCTTAAAATTTTAATTTTTAAATAAAGATTATGTATTTAACAGAGAGAGACATACAGTGAGAGATGAAACACAAGCAGGGGGAGTAGCAAAGGGAGAAGGAGAAGCAGGCTCCCCACTGATCAGGGAGCCAGATGTGAGGCTCCATCCCAGGACCCTAGGATCATGACCTGGGCTGAAGGCAGATGCTTAATGACTGAGCCACCCAGGCGCCCCAAGTGTCTGACTCCTGATTTTGGCTCAGGTCAGGATCTCAGGGTTGTGGGATGGAGCCCTGCATAGGACTCTGCACTGGGCCTGGAGTCTGCTTAAGATTCTTTTTTTTTTGTTTTGTTTTAAGATTTTATTTATTTATTTGTCAGAGAGAGAGAGCACAAGCAGGGGGAGCGGCAGGCAGAGCAGGCAGAGGGAGAAGCAGGCTCCTGGGTGAGCAAGGAGCCCGATGTAGGATTCGATTCCAGGACCCTGAGATCATGACCTGAGCCAAAGGCAGACGCTTTACCGACTGAGCCACCCAGGCGTCCCACTTAAGAGCCTTTCTCTCCTGCTCCCTCTGCTCCTGGCATGCTGTCCCTCTATCTCTAAAATAAAACTAAACCAAAAACACCCCCCACCAAAATACCCCTGCATGCAGTTTGGGGGGCAACTCTGTGCAAGTTGAAGTCAGTATGTAGGGACTGATTCTTCCCAAAGAGTTCTGTAAAGAAAACACTACACAGATATGCCCCAGTGAGAAGCTTTTGAGAAATTATCAATTTTCAGGCTTTCTGATGGCAAGGAAAACACCTTTTTTCTCTTTGCACTACTTTCCTCGAGCAAGACAAGACGGATGGTGGGGAAAAGAGGAGTGAGAGAAGTGGGAACAGGGCCTCACAAGCAACTAAGCTCTCCTGTTCTGCCCAGAACTGTTTGGGGAGGGGAGAGGGGGTTGAGGCACACAAAGAGCAGGTCAGGAGCACAGCTTCACCTTTAAAGCTAAAGAGACAGGAGACAATGGGCTAGGAAAGCCAGCAGGCATCCGGGGTATATGGGAATTCTTTGCACTGTTCTTGCAACGCTCAGTTTTCAAAATAAAAAGTTAAAAAAATGCCTTCTCAGAGTCTCTCATCTCATCTCTATCTAATGTAAAGAAATTCCTCCACCTGCAAACTTTTTTTCTTTTCAAAGCTTTTATTTTGGGGGCTCCTGGGTGGCTCAGTTGGTTAAGCGCCTGATTTCAGCTCACGTCATGATCTTAGGGTCCTGGGATTGAGTCTGCTTGCAGCAGGGAATCTGCTTCCTCTCCCTCTTCCTCTGCCCCTTAGCTTGCCCCCGATCTCTCTCTAATAAATAAATAAAACCTTTATTTATCTGTTTATCTGAGTGATAGAGAGCACGAGCGGGGAGAAGGTCAGTGGAAAAAGCAGACTCCCCGCGGAGCTGGAAACCTGATGCAGGACTCATCCCGGCACTCCCCGGGATCATGACCTGAGCCAAAGGCAGTGGCTTAACCAACAGAGCCACCCAGCTGCCCAATAAATAAAATCTTTTAAAGAAATTACTTTTAAGTAATTTCTACACCAAACATGGGGCTTGAACTCACAACCCCACAATCAAGAGTTGCATTCTCTACCGATTGAGCCATCCAGGCGCCCCTGTAAAACTTAAGTTGAGAAACTCAGAATTCTAACTACAAAATCCATAACCCTACAGATCAGAAGCCTCACCAGCATCTCTCTCCAGCAGAGGGCACTAGAGTCGTGGCTTTCAAGCTGGGCTTCCTTGCAGAATCTCCTGGAAGCTTTGCGTCAAGTCCAAAGTGACACCATTGAAAAGTCCTCTATTCATGAACTTGCCACTTACAAAGCTGCAATGTGTCAGCTTGGGTAGGGCCAGCCTTTTAGACAGCAGACCGATTAAATAGGCATCTGATGTTTTGGGGAGAAGCCAGAGACCTTTATAGCTAGCTTCCCACCTAGTGCTGGGGAGAGTTCTGCGCTATCTTGTCATTAATATTCCTAAGATAGAGAGAGCAAAGAACCCCCAGGAAAGTGCTTTGGTCTCCAGCCTCCTAAACAGCCCTGTACAGATTTTCAATTAAAGGACTGTGGTTGGGGCTGAGTGAGGCAGTCAGTCCCTCTGTTGGGTTTGAGGAGCATCTTATTCTCCAAGCCACCAGCAGGGGGAGCTATACACCCAGTCGGCGGATGCAAACTGTCCCTTCCAGCTTGGCTGTAGGGAAACAGGTGGAAATGCTGAATCCCCGGGCTGAGCTGCTTGACAAAGCCTGGGTCACACCGCTATCATTTCCAGATCTGATCACTTCCCTGCATTCCTGACAGGGCTGTGAGCTCTGACCGTGTCTGATTTACCTTCTGTCTGGAGAGTCCTGTACACAGTGCCCAACACAGGAAGGCAAATATTAACTATTGTTGCTGTTTTTGGCACCCGATGAATGAATCTTCTCCAGACTGACCGGATGTTGTCATTCACTGGGACTGCCAAAAGGCTGAGACGCTCTTCCCCTCCTTGGGTCCCTCGCGGGGAACCTGAGACATTTTGTTTTGGGCAGAACACCCTTCCTTCGTGAAGAGCCCTACGTTGGAGAAATCCGTCCTCCACCTGCATCTTTCCTACCCGTCTCCAAATCCACAGAAAACCGCTGTCACCGCAGGCCCCTGGCCACCCCCAAACTGGGGTGCTCCCAGACCAGGCAATGAGGGACTCACACTCCGGCGGGCACAAGCGGCTGGAACTTCCACTGTTCCTCCTCACAGTCCAGGAAGAGCCGGTTCATGATCTTGTTCTTCTCCTCAGGGGGGATGAAGTTCTCGATGATCAGGTACCTGGGAGCAGGAATGAGGTAGAGATGGGGAACTGGGGAGGGAGAGACCACAGGGGGCACGCAAAGGTTGGAGCAAGAAGTCAAGAGGCAGAGGGAACAGAGGAGACGGAAAAACCGGACAGCTGGAGAAGAGAGGATCCCTACAGCAATCACAGAACTTGAAACCCCTGCTTCTGGGGCAAAGACTGTGGACTCAGGGCCCGAGGGGTCACTCCTGGCCAGCACCCAGCATGCACTTCGGGGGACCCATCGCTGCGGCAGGCAGAGGAAGGAGAAGGAAACAGGTGGTGTAAGCAACTCGTCCTCCCCCCTCAGACACATTTTATTCCTAAGGGATGTGGACTCCTGGGGAGTAGACGGCTGGAACGAGGCCTTGAGGAAGGAATAAGCCCCTCAGAGAGGCCAGGCAATGATGGACAGCAGAGGACCAGAAATGCGAAGAGGAGGGGGCCCTACTTGAGCTTGAGCTCCCGGGTCTGCTCATTCTGCGCCTCCTCCAGGTCCTGCCGAACGCGGATGTACTCGTCGTGCTGGTCCTGGATCTCTGCCTTCACCGCCTGCAGCTTGGCGTAGAGCTGTGAGGGGACAGGCGCCACTCAGAGGCTGCGCCATGCGGTGGCGAGGCCCCTGTCCCCCGGCCCAGACCCCGACACTGCAGGCTCAGGCTCCACCAGCAGAGTCCAGGGCGAGGCCCCTGAATGTCCCTCCTGCCCCACCACAGACGAGGGCGGGTTTTTCAAAGGGCCACCCTGTCCCTCCTCCCCTAGGATGTGTTACCTGCTCCCCCTCCGAGGCTGTCACCTTGTGGAAAACTGAAAGGGACCCGAGAGACCTTTTAGTCCCAACACCCTCTTTTGGTAGAGGAGGTGACTCAGGGACACAGTTGCTCAAGGTCACACCACTAGTTACAAGAAGAGTCTGGGTCAGGACCCAAGTACAGAACTGCCGTGCAGGGCTCCGGGAGGGAAGGTGACCTGTCCCACTCCTGCCTCTCCAGGATCATGATCCGGCTTTCCTGGACTGCGGTCCCGCTCCTAACCCGCCAAGGGGTTGATGCGTCCCTGGAAACTGCCACTGTGACAGGGCCTCCTCCTGGCCTGCTCTGGGCTGCTCGCCTCGGCAACCCAGTGGGTTTTCCAGGTTCTTCCCAGAATCTGGGCTAGAATTTGCTGCTTCCTGTCCCTGTCCATGCCCTTCCCTGGCCCTGGACTTTGCAGAGTTCCGGAGATCAGTTTCATTCCTTCCTGTGTCCACAGAGGCCTGCGGCTCCCCTCCCGAGTTGCCCCAGGCTTGTGTCTCCTTAGGCCTCCTTGACACTCCTGTCCTGGGCCTGGCTACCCAACCGTGACTCGCTGGTGACACTGCGCAGGGGAAGTTACCCACCGCCGTCAGGATGGCAGCAGGAGACTGGAGGTGAAGGCCTTCCCAGCCCACCAGGCCCAGCCTGGCCCAGGAGAAGAGGCTCTAGTCTGCACCAGCCCTGGACCCCGGCCTTCCCCCCACTCCTTAGGCCGGCAGCCCCGGCGAAGTCACTCTGGGCTTCAGCAGTTCCCTAAAGCACAGACCCCCCTCAGGTGGGGTTGGTGACTGCCTCGGGCCGAGGCTGCCAGGCCCTCTGCCCCCCATAGCTCTCACCTTCTTGAGCTTCTTGGTTTTGACCTCCACCTCCTGCTGCAGGGACGTGTAGGTGCCCCGGAGCTCCATGGTCTCCTCGTCGCGGAGCAGCATCTCTTGCTGCATTTCCCGTTCACGGCGTTTCTAGGCCGAGGCAGGGCACAGGGGCTCAGTGGGCCAGCGTGTCCCAGGGAGGGCCAAGGGAGCTCAGGAGACAAGCTTACTCTGCCTATCATGGGATCTGGCTCCACTGTGGCCACAGACACCGGGAAGGAGAAGAGAGCGTCTCATGGCCCGTGGCCCCTGCTCCTACCCATCATCAGCAGAGCCTCTCTGAACCTTCTTCTTAGCTCATGTAGCCATGTCTGTGCCAGACACTGCCCCCTGGGGATGGAGACCCCAGCCCGAACATCTGGCCCATTCCAGGACTATCAAGCCACAATAGATTCCCATCATACTGGCTTCCCAGCTGCCTTGCCCTCTCCCCATATGGCATCACAGATGAGTGGTAGGACCAACAAATTGTGGTTCTTGAAGATTCAGGACATTGTCATACAATTGGCAAAGAACTCACACCTTTGTGGAAGGCCTGGAGAACCACCAGCCGTGGAGAACCACCACTTCCTCTCACCCCTCAGCTGGCGGTGCCCTTGACAGAGGCAGCTCCTGGGCTGGGAGACCCATGGGACCCAGGGCAGCGTGTCTGAGGTTCTCAGCACTGTATCCCAGGGACGCTGAGTCCCTGACGGCTCACTGCCCTGTGTCCTCCAGACAAGACCTCAAGGCCATGAGCATCCACGAGACCTGAAGCCCCCAGCCCTACCTGCTCTGCAATCTCCTGCCTCTTTAGTTCCAGCATCTTCTGCTGCTCGTTGGTATGATCCATGATGTTCCTGCCCCCGATGAGCAGCTTGCTCTCCATGGCCTGCGGACACAGAGGGGTTAAAGAGATGGGCTTTTCAAAGATGGCCACAGCATCTCCGACTTGAGAGGTTTGCTTCCCTGCTCTGTGGTCCTTCCAGGAGTGGACCAAAGACGTGTCCCTGATGGGGCCTCGTGGCCCTCCCCGAGAACAAAGTTGCCCCTCCAGCCTCCTGGGCTCCCGCCCAAGGCTCCCATCATCAATAAGACCATTAAGTGAGGCAAAGAGAGGGCATCCCTCAGGGAAAATAGGCACCTGATCTGTTTGCTTTGGATACAGCTGGAAGATTGGTTCTCCATGCCTGGGAGGAGCATGCATGAGGCTTTTGAATCCTGGCATTTAGCTCCCAGCTGGTGTTCAAGAGTGGGGAGCAGTGACCGGGCAGCCCAAATCTTTAGCTAACAGGCTCCTGACTCAAGAAGACGGCTCTCAACAGTGGGGCAGTGTGAGGCCCCAGAAGCCGCATGAGATTTGGGCATGGCCAGAGAGACGGGGGTTCGGCCCACTAAGTGCAAGGTCTAGACCAAGGGTCCCCTTCAGCTCTCACATCTGTAATACCAGAAGGGCCTCTGTTCTAGGATGTCTGACAAATATTGCTGAGTCCTATTTTTGAGGGGCTGAATTCAGCCCTTAACAAACATGATCTCCATCCTCAGCCTAAGAGAAAGCTCCTGTTACTCTCCCCACTTAAGTGAAGAGATGGAGAGTAACTCAACCAAGGTCATGCCACTAGTGAACGAAGAGGTAAGATTTGAACCCACCACCTCTGGCCCCACTCCGTGAGCCCTGGTGCTCGGCACAGACCTGCCGTACGGATAATAGATGCGTATAAACTGGGTAAACCAGGATGACGTGAAACACATTCTCACTCCTGCTCGTGAGAGGGTGCTGCCCCCAGGCACTCCAGCTGTCCTCTGATTTCATCGCAGGCTTCCCAGAAGGTTGAAATCACCTTGAACCACTGGATGATATTGGCTGTGTCCCTACTGGAATTTTTCCCAGTGGGACCAGCTGACCTGCTTCCGGGCTCGCAAGCACAGGCTGCTGTCACGGTGTGGGGGCAGGGGACCCCTCTGCCACCTGTGGAAGCCCCATCACAGGGGACGGAGCAGGACAGGGGTGGAGGGCTGCTTTTGGGGGTTCAGGGGTGGGGCTCTGTGAGGATGCCATTGGACCCTGTGTGACAGCGGGCCCATCGGAGTTGCCCCACATAGCCTCCGAGGCCAAGGCAGAGCTCCTGCAGAGCTCGGGGCCCTGGAGAGCTGCCTGTCCTCACTGCCACCCCACCCCCTGCCACCAGCTGTGCTTATACCTCCCCCAGGCCTTGCTCTGGGACACTGTCTCACCATCTGGCTCACCCCGACAGCACAGGCCTGAACCCATCCCAGACACTTCCTTCTCACTCAAGCCCAGAACCTGCACGATCTTTTGAGTGAACGAGGCCTTCAGTTTCGTGCCCTGTGCACCTTACCTTCCTCTCCCCAGGCCCTGCCCTGAGTGTGTCTCTTGCCGCCCCTGTGTTGGGCCATTCATCAAATCCCATCAAGTCTGCCTTCTTGTTAGGGCTCCCACCATTCCCTGCTTTCCATCTGCGAATACACCTGCTGACTTCACAGCACCCTTCCTGACCTGCCTGCCTGGGTCGTTGCCCTCAGCTTCCCTGTCCATCCATCTCCCCGTGACACCCAGGGGCGTTCGCCAGAAACACAAGTCAGAGGGCGCCCCTCCTCTGCTGCCAAGTACCTCAACAGGAAAAGAACATCCTCTCTTTGCAAGATGAAACCCAGAGTCTGCTGCAGCGACCTGCCCGGTGGGCTGGCCCGGCCTTCCAGCCTCCTCTTACCACTCACTCCCCAAGCCGGCTCCAGATCCCAGAAGAATTCCAGCTCCTGGAATGTGCTGGGCCATTTCACAACACTGGGCTTCTCTTGCCACTCCACATTTGCCTGGAAAACCACTGCTTATCCTGCAGACTCAGCGGGAGTGACTTGGGGTGTGTGCTCCGAGTCTCTCACATCGGCCCCTTTCCTCCTTTTGTCCCCCTCAATAACCAGGACACATTCCTATTCTTTTCCCCGCACGGACCATTACTGCTTACATCCTGTCTCCCCTGTGAGCTCCTTCAGGGCAGGGACCATGTCTTAGCACAGACATGATTTCAGGGTCCCAGGGCTTAGTACAGAACTTGGCACATAGTAAGTGCTCAATAAACGTTTGAGGCCCTGAAAGGAATCCCTGGGCTTGTGGGGTGGTGGTGGGGGGGAGGGGGAGTTCCAAGTCTTTTCCTGGGCTCTCTCATCCGGAATAGAACTGACCCTTTATCCCAGCTTCTCCTCCTTCAACAGACAAGCCCACACTCATTGTTGGAAGGCAAAAGGACAGAGCAGCAGGGTCTGCGCTTCTGGGAAACCTGGCAGGAGGGAGGGGATGGGTGTGAGGAGGGAGGAAGGAGAGACAAGGCAGGAAACCCCCTTCTGCTGGGGCCATGGATAACGGATCCCTCTAACTACCCGGGACACAAGATCTCAGGGACCTGGTATCTGGCCTGGCTTCCTATTCTGGGACACTCCAGCCCTGAGTCCTTGCACCTCCCCTTGGTGATTGACGTCATTCCCGTGTTCTTCACTCTTGTGCAATCTCATAAAGGTACTACTTCTCAAACTTGGTTGCTGTATTAGAGTCACTGGGGAGCTTTTAAAATTCCCCACTGCTGGACCACATCACGTTATTATCTTGGGCCCCGCCCCTCATGAGTGGCTTTAAGAACTCCCATGCCAGGGGCACCTGGGTGGCTCAGTGGGTTAAAGCCTCTGCCTTCGGCTCAGGTCATGATCCCAGGGTCCTGGGATCGAGCCCCGCATCCAGCTCTCTGCTCAGCAAGGAGCCTGCTTCCTCCTCTCTCTCTGCCTGCCTCTCTGACTACTTGTGATCTCTGTCAAATAAATAAATAAAATCTTAAAAAAAAAAAAAAAAAAAAGAACTCCCATGCCAGGTGCTCAGGGAGGAGTCTCGAAGCCAAGCGCTGGTGCCCTGGTTTTCCTGACCGATTGATGGGCTGGGGACTAGGGCGGAGAGAGAACAGGGCAAGGAACCAGGAAGAAGAAAACCATGGTTTTCTCTGCCTGTCGGGTGTTTCACCTTTACTTCTTTTTTTTTTTTTTCATTTCCTGACAGATGCTGGCGAGGATGCGGAGAAAGGGGAACCCTCCTACACTGTCGGTGGGAATGCAAGCTGGTGCAACCACTCTGGAAAACAGCATGGTGGTTCCTCAAAATGTTGAAAATAGAACTACCCTACAACCCAGCAATTGCACTACTGGGTATTTACCCTAAAGATACAAACGTAGTGATCCGAAGGGGCACGTGCACCCGAATGTTTATAGCAGCAATGTCTACAATAGCCAAACTATGGAAAGAACCTAGATGTCCATCAACACATGAATGGATAAAGAAGATGTGGTATATATACACAATGGAATACTATGCAGCCATCAAAAGAAATGAAATCTTGCCATTTGCGA